AAAGAGATTGTAAAAATTATAGAGGAATAAGTTTAATGAGTATACCAGGAAAAATGTACGGTAGGGTTATAATTGAGAGAATTAGAGGCAAGACAGAATGTAGGATTGCGGATGAGCAAGGAGGTTTTAGAGTGGGTAAGGGATATGTAGATCAAGTGTTTACATTGAAGCATATATGTGAACAGTATTTAGATAAAGGTAGGGAAGTTTTTATTGCATTTATGAATTTAGAAAAGGCATATGATAGAGTGGATAGAGAAGTAATATGGCAGATGTTGCAAGTATATGGAATTGGTGGTAAGTTATTAAATGCTGTAAAGAGTTTTTATGAGGATAGTGAGGCTCAGGTTAGGGTGTGTAGAAGACAGGGAGACTACTTCCCAGTAAAAGTAGGTCTTAGACAGGGATGTGTAATGTCACCATGGTTGTTTAATATACTTATAGATAGGGTTGTAAAAGAAGTAAATGCTAGGGTGTTCAGGAGAGGGGTGGGATTAAATTATGGGGAATCAAATACAGAATGGGAATTGACACAGTTGCTTTTTGCTGATGATACTGTGCTTATGGGAGATTCTAAACAAAAATTGCAAAGGTTAGTGGACGAGTTTGGGAGTGTGTGTAAAGGTAGAAAGTTGAAAGTGAACATAGAAAAGAGTAAGGTGATAAGGGTATCAAATGATTTAGATAAAGAAAAATTGGATATCAAATTGGGGAGGAGGAATATGGAAGAAGTGAATGTTTTCAGATACTTGGGAGTTGACGTGTCAGCAGATGGATTTATGAAGGATGAGGTTAATTATTAATCATAGAATTGATGAGGGAAAAAAGGTGAGTGGTGCGTTGAGGTATATGTAGAGGCAAAAAACGTTATCTATGGAGGCAAAGAAGGGAATGTATGAAAGTATAGTAGTACCAACACTCTTATATGGGTATGAAGCTTGGGTTGTGAATGTAGCAGCGAGGAGACGGTTGGAGGCAGTGGAGATGTCCTGTCTAAGGGCAATGTGTGGTGTAAATTTATGCAGAAATTCGGAGTGTGGAAATTAGGAGAAGGTGTGGAGTTAATAAAAGTATTAGTAAGAGGGCTGAAGAGGGGTTGTTGAGGTGGTTTGTTCATTTAGAGAGAATGGATCAAAGTAGAATGACATGGAGAGCATTTAAATCTGTAGGGGAAGGAAGGCAGGGTAGGGGTCATCCTCAAAAAGGTTGGAAGGAAGGGGTAAGGGAGGTTTTGTGGGCGAGGGGCTTGGACTTCCAGCAGGCACGCGTGATTCTGTTTGATAGGAGTGAATGGAGACGAATGGTATTTGGGACATGATGATCTGTTGGAGTGTGAGCAAGATAATATTTAGTGAAGGGATTCAGGGAAACCAGTTATTTTATATAGCCGCACTTAAGTCCTGGAAATGGGAAGTACAATGCCTGCACTCTAAAGGAGGGGTTCAGGATATTGGCAGTTTGGAGGGATATGTTGTGTATCTTTATACGTATATGCTTCTAAGCTGTTGCGTTCTGAGCACCTCTGCAAAAGCAGTGATTATGTTTGAGTGAGGTGAAAGAGTTGAATGATGTTGAAAGTATTTTCTTTTTGGGGATTTTCTTTCTTTTTGGGTCACCCTGCCTCGGTGGGAGATGGCCGACTTGTTAAAAAAAAAAAATGTATATGCTACGGATATTTACTTTTGTCTAAATGTTATGACACTTCTGGCCAATGACACACAACAAATGGATGTGGCAAGGAATGTGAAAAATACTTGAATAGTTCCCCTGGCTTTGTGGTTATGATTTATGTCATAACAGCAACAAGCTGTTAATGATAATATAAATTTGATAATGGTAAAAATGGAATATGTTTAAATCACTGATTAATCAAACAGTTCTAGTGCTTTGTAAGTAAAATAAACAAATAAATCATTTAGATTTTACCCCAGTATACATTGCTGATCAGGGCAGCAGTTAGCTGTTTTTTGTTTTAAGAGTAAGTTGCCTAGAAGCTGTAGGCAGATCTAAGGTTCTCTGAAGCAGGCTTTACCAGAGAGGATTACCAAATTTATTTGAAAGCTGACCACAGTTTATTTTAAAAGTATCAGGATTTCTTCAAGCTAATTCCTGAATTATTTTCAGAGTACTGAAATGAATATTTTTATTATGTTAACAGTGAGACCATGAAGTTTTGTTGTTTCACCATAGAAACATATTTGGATTATCATATGAATATAGTTAAAGACTTACCAAATCTCTGTATTCCATATAGTCTTCTTTCAACAAACTGGCCGTATTCCACTGACACAGGGTGGTTCAAAAAGAAAAATGAAAGTTACTCTTTTTAAATTTAGTAATGTATACAGGAGAAGGGGTCACTAGCCCCTTGCTCTTGGCATGCTAGTCGCCTCTTACAACACGCATGGCTTACAGAGGAAGAATTTTGTTTCATTTCCCCATGGAGATAAAAGGAAATAAACAAGAAGAAGAACTGATAAGAAAATAGAAGAAAGCATGAGGGGTACTCACCTAGTTGTGGCTGTAGGGGTCAAGTCATAGCTCCTGGCCCTGCCTCTTCACTGGAGTGTGTGTGTATATATATGTTGTACATACATGTGTAGTGTGATCTAAGTGTAAGTAGAAACAGGAAGACATGCCTGAAACCTTACATGTTTATGAGACAGAAAAAAGACACCAGAAATCCTACCATCATGTAAAACAATTACAGGCTTCCGTTTCACACTCACTTGGCTGGACGGTAGTACCTCCCTGGGTGGTTGCTGTCTACCATCCTACTACCTAGGAGTTCATATAGTCTCTGCATTATTTGTTCCTTATCAATGAATTGTACAGTAAACTCTTCTATAATGCAACATCACATATTGCAGTTTTGTGTAAATTTGAGTGAAAAGTGCATCCAAAATTGCATAGCAGATGAAGGCTTTGAGAGTACACTCCATAAGTACATAAACTTCAAGTTACTTGGAAGTATCTGAGTACTGTACACCATGATATTTTTCTTGCCAAATGTTTGGAAAGGCACATCTTCTCCTCTCCCCTACTGCTAACCATTCCTCCTACAGTTTTTTTTTTTTATCTGGTAGTGTTTGTGTGCCTTGCTGTTTTTATCACACAATTTTAGATACAGGTACCATCCGACTTACGGCTGAGCCTGGATCTGACCAACTGGTCATAAATCGAAATGGACATAAGTCAAACCTTGCTATTGAATATCAACATCACATTTTTGTAATGACTTTATTTTATTGTTTTATTTTGGTATTTCATTTTTTACTTTACTTTTTATGCTGTTAGTACTGTATTTTATACTGTAAGGTTTAGGATAAACACTGTGTACAACACAAACAGTTGTTTATTTCCCAGAAATTTGGCATAAAAAACATGGTCGTAAGTCGAGTGGTCATATGTCGAGCAGGTCGTAAGTCGGATGGCAGGTGTATTTTCTCTGGCATTTCCTCAGTAAGGAGTCCAGGAAATTGTCACTTCAGCAAGGACTGAGGCATAAGGGCTTTGAAGGTTATACATGAATGAGACAAATGAACTGTTAGAAGATGACAAAAAACCAATTGCAGAAGAAAAGCTGAAGTACATAATTCAATTCCCAGTTATGAGGAAATGAAACTGAAGATAAACAGTTAAGACTGCAACACTTATGTAGGCAATTCATGTTGTTGCTTATTTATGTAGTTACAAACACAAATAGTTGCAAAAAGGATACAAGCTATTTGGAAAACTACTAATTATGCAGAGCATTTCCACACACTTTCATGTCAAAAAGCAATCAGCATAAGGTAAGATAAACTGTAGAAATTTGTACTTGTAAAATATTTTAATGAAAACTGTTTTGTAAATTTGAAGGTCCCTGAAATGTAATCCAGTTTTTCTGAAATATTCTTCATTTTCCGTACCACTGATCTCCATAAGTTGCAGATTTTTAGTAATATGTTCCTTATGTTATGAGAGAATTTACTTCAGTATTTATTAAATAAATACAGGTTGATCATCACTAATCCGGCATCATCGGGAACTGTAGGGTGCCAGATTAGTGATTTTGCCAGATTACAGGGGTTAGGTTAGAATACACTTAACCCACTGGCAATATTTATGCATTGGCGATTTCACCCACTTTACACCTTATTTTTGACCCATTCCATTGTTCCTGTCTAACAAACTCATAGCTATTTCACTAGTATTCCTTCTATTCTGTCAATTAAGTACAGGAAAATGCCCATTTACCTATTTCAACTACCCAGTAAGGTGGTCAGAAATCGGTAATTTGGCCAATTTCACGCAGATTTCAAGAGATGTCACTTTCAAAATAGGGTCCAGAATAAACAGTGCAGACATTCCTGGCATTTCTGTTTCTGTAATATATCTTCCATTCTATCAAATGAGACCAAAAAAAACGATAATACAACCACATGAAAATACACCGCAAAGTCGCTGTTTTACACCAAAAGTATGGTCGCCATTTTTCTCATGCACTACGTGCTGCAGGATTTTTTTATATATGTATAGTGCACACTTACCACACAGACCTATTCTCTCATATGTAGGTCCAGATTTACTGGTCACAGCTTATCTGAGTGAGCTGAGCTCATGGCGACTGACAGTGGCTTCAAAACCACCTTATCTTTTATGGACAATGTATGATGTATGTGCTTTACACAATGAGAATCATTTCTTTTATTCGTTGGAACCATGGCTAGGGCTGAAAGTGAGCAGGTTATAACCCATAAATGGGGAAAAAGAAATTGGAAAAACTTATGAAGGAAGTAGCGCCACCAAACAGTAGTGGCAGGTTGGTGTGGGAACCCCGGAAATTTGAAAATATGCTAGCCGAAATTGTGCCGGATTACTGATGGAACTGGATTACTGATTACAGGATTAGTAATGGCCAATCTGTATGTATTTGATTTTTTACTGATTAATTATTGTATGTTCCTGGCATATTATATGATATACCATTATATATTATTAGTTTTCTTTTACCTCAGCTCCTGAACTTCAGACAGTAGAGAGACGAAACTGGCTAATTCACTTGCATTATGTGAGGAAGGAATTTGACCTTTGCAAACATCTGATCCGGGAGCAGCTGGAGGAGACTCGTGGAATGTGCGAGTATGCTAACTATGTACAGGTAATAACTTTTGGCTTTTGTCTTTAGAACAGTTATTCATATGCTATGTTAATGTATGCAGTACAGTGGAACTTAAATTGTCGACTACATTACTTGTCGAACAAATCAGTTTTCAACTGAGGAATTCGAGAAAAGATGTCCTAGATTTCGTATATTTTCTTGGTTGTCGATTGACAACGTGAACGACTTGGGTCACATGCTCACTAACTCACATGCATAAACATCTCTTGAGATTTTGTTGTGCAAGAAAGATATATTACTGAAATAGATATGATTTTGATTGGTTTCATGACGAAAAGTACCTTGAAATTGAGCTCAAAGTAGCGGAAATGTTCGATTTTTGCCCATGTTCAAATGACATCACTGTCCAATATGTGTCCGACTGGCGGGTTTGATACGTGGTCACGAATGGGTTGACATTATTTATACAACTACAGTGGACCCCCGGTATTCGATATTAATCTGTTCCTGAGAGCTCATCGAATACCGAAAATATCGAAAAGCGAATCAATTTTCCCTATAAGAAATAGTGGAAATCAAATTAATCCGTGCAAGACACCCAAAAGTATGAAAAAAAAATATTTTACCAGATGAAATATTAAGTTTAATGCAATAGAATAATTACAATAACAATAGAATATAACAATAGAATAATTGACACTTACCTTTAATGAAGATCTGGTGATGATTGATGGGATGGGAGGAGGGGAGAGTGTAGATGGTGTTAGTGTTTAGAAGGGGAATCCCCTTCCATTAGGACTTGAAGTAGCAAGTCCTTTTCTGGGGTTACTTCCCTTCTTCTTTTAATGTCACTAGGACCAGCTTGAGAGTCACTGGACTTCTGTCGCACATATCTGTCCTTAGAGGCCTGTACCTCTCGTTCCTTTATGACTTTCCTAAAGTGGTTCACAACATTGTCATTGTACAGGTTGCCAACACGGTTTGCAGTAGCTGTGTCAGGATGATTTTCATCAAAAAAGGTTTGCACTTCAAGCCACTTTGCACACATTTCCTTAATCTTTGAAGTAGGCAACTTCTTCAATTTCTCTATCCCCTCCTCTGAAGCAGTTTCCTCAGGTCTGGCCTCTTGCTGTTGAAGATGATCTAGCAGCTTATCAGTGGTTAGTTCATCATTGTCCTCCTCCACAAACTCTTCCACATCCTCCCCACTAACCTCCAACCCCAAGGACTTCCCCAATGCCACAATGGATTCCTCAACTGGCATAGGATTTTCAGGGTTAGCCTCAATTCCTTCAAAATCCCTTTTGTCTACACATTCTGGCCACAGTTTTTTCCAAGCAGAGTTCAAGGTCCTCTTAGTTACTCCCTCCCAAGCCGTACCTATAAGGTTTATACAATTGAGGATATTAAAGTGATCCTTCCAAAACTCTTTTAGAGTCAGTTGAGTTTCTGTGGTCACTACAAAGCACTTTTGAAACATAGCTTTTGTGTACAGTTTCTTGAAGTTGGAAATGACCTGCTGGTCCATGGGCTGCAGGAGAGGAGTGGTATTAGGAGGCAAAAACCTGACCTTAATGAAGCTCATGTCCCCAGAAAGTCGCTCTGCCAAGTCTGTAGGATGACCAGGGGCATTGTCTAATACCAGGAGGCACTTAAGGTCTAATTTCTTTTCATTTAGGTAATTTTTCACAGTGGGGGCAAATGCATGGTGTAACCAGTCATAGAAAAAGTCCCTAGTGACCCATGCCTTACTGTTTGCCCTCCATAGCACACACAAATTAGCCTTGAGGACATTGTTTTTCTGAACACTTTTGGAGTTTCAGAGTGATACACCAATAAAGGCTTCACTTTGCAATCGCCACTAGCATTGGCACACATCAACAGAGTAAGCCTGTCTTTCATAGGCTTATGTCCTGGGAGTGCCTTTTCCTCCTGAGTAATGTAGGCCCTGCTTGGCATTTTCTTCCAAAACAGGCCTGTTTCGTCGCAATTAAACACTTGTTTAGGTTTAAATTCTTCACTGTCTATGTACACTTTGAATTCCTTCACATATTTTTCAGCTGCTTTTTGGTCCGAACTGGCAGCCTCACCATGCCTAATCACACTATGTATCTATGTATGCCACTACGATTCTTAAATCTTTCAAACCAACCTTTTCTGGCCTTAAATTCACTCACATCAGCACTAGTTGCAGGCAATTTCTTTACCAAATTGTCATGCAACTGCCTAGCCTTTTCACAAATGATCGCTTGAGAGATGCTATCTCCTGCTATCTGTTCTTCATTTATCCACACCAATAACAGTCTCTCAACATTTTCTAACACTTGCGGTCGCTGTTTTGTAATCACAGTTGCACTTTTTGCAAGAACAGCTTCCTTGATTGCCGTTTTCCTGGTCACTATAGTAGAGATGGTTGATTGGGGTTTACTATACAACCTGGCCAGCTCCGGCACACGCACTCCACTTTCGTACTTTGCAATTATCTCTTTCTTCATTTCAATAGTCATTAGCACCTTTTTTCTCAAAGGGTTGGCACTAGAAGCTTTCTTGGGGCCCATGGTGACTTATTTTACAGAACCAAGCACCAAAAACAGTGATAATATGGAATGTACCGGATGTATCCTTAGATGCGTGCACACTGGCTGGCTTGTAAACACTGGCACACACTGGGCAGTTCAGGCCACACGTGGACACGTCTCGTACGAATCGCATCAAATACCGGGTTTTCGATTGGATACTGAGGCAAAATTTTTACTTTAAAATGTATCGAATACCAGATTTATCGAATACCGATGCCATCGAATACTGGGGGTCCACTGTATAACAATAATGCAGTAGTCTGCATAACAGTAAATCTAATATTTTTTTTTTTCTGAATAACAATTCAAAATGGAAAGCAGGCATAATATAAAAGGAGCCTGGAGACATGACTGATGAAGAGAGAAAATGTTATTTTAGTGCCAGGAATGTCTGCATTGTTTATTCTGGACCCTATTTTGAAATTGGCATCTCTTGAAATTTGTGTGAAATTGGCCATGTTACTGATTTCTGACCACTTATTAGGTAGTTGAAATTGGTAAATAGGCAGTTTCTTGTACTCAATCGACAGAATAGAAGGAATACTAGTGAAATAGCTATGAGTTTGGTAGACGGGATCAATGGAATGGGCCAAAAATTGGGTATAAAGTGGGTGAAATTGATGATGCGTAAATATTGCCGTTTGGTTAAATGTATTCTAACCTAATCACTCTGTAATCTGGCAAAATCACTAATCCAGCACCCTACAGGTCCTGATGATGCCGGATTAGTGATGGCCAACCTGTACCAAGAAACAGCCAATAAAACTATAAAAACCATCCTAGAAAACACCTAAAATTTGCTGTTTTAAACCAAACACAAAGTAAGAGTTTTGCTTTTCCCATTGCACACTGTGTGAGCCAAAATTTCTTTTTATACAATGCACACTTACCACACAAACCCATTCTCTCATGTCTAGGCTAAAATGTACCACTCACAGCTTATATGAGGGAGCTGAGCTCAAGGTATATTTCTACTTAAGGGACTCTAGCATCACTGACATAGAATTATGAATATGACAGTGAAAGGGTTAAGAGGTACTGTCAGCATAATACAGTATAATCAATCTGCTGCTGGTTTTACCTCTAACCATTTTCCAACATTGTACATCAACAGCAGTTATGTGCTTGTAACAAATAATTGTTAGAAGTTTGTACTGATACGTATAATGTACAGAATTTTAATAAACCAGTAATTATAGCCTTTTCTTAGAGCAGCTTTGTCTTTTTACTAGTTTTTTAGGTGAAATTAAATTTAAATTTATATTGAAAAAACTGAATGTATGTATGTCTGTTTTATTCTGTGTCCATCAAGCTATTTACTCAACTAGACTAGTAAAGAGATATAGAGTGATTAATATTTATGATTGGATTTGGGAAAACTGGTTATCTTCATTTAAATACCTGAGGTGGAATGTACAGTGCATGCAATCTGAAAGTGGAGATATTGTAATTCAGAGGGGCCATTGGAACTATGATGTCGGCTTACTAATGACTTGAAAGCTGTTGAATGAATGATAGTGAGATTTCTTTTTCTGGGGGTCCCCTTTGCTTTGTAGAAGGTAATCTTGGGTAATTTTTACTAAAATTTATGTGGATAAGCTGATTGGTTACTTTATCATTGATGTCTTTCATGGTCTTGCAGGGCTTGATACTGAGACAAGAAGGAAAGATCCAGGAGTCATTTGAGCTGTTTCAGTTGTGCAACATCCTCAACCCCAGCAGTGTTGAGAATATCAAGCAGATGGCTCGAGCTTTGTTAGTACAAACTTTCTCCAGTGTCTTGCTTTATAGAAATTAGTAGAGTAATTTGTTACAACACTGGGACCATAAACCCTGATGAATTATAGTACAGGTCGGCCATCACTAATCCAGCAATCAGTAATCCAGTTCTGTCAGTAATCTGGCACTAATTTCGGCTAGCATTACGTATTTCAAATTTCTGGGGTTACCACACCAACCTGCTGCTACTGTTTGGTGGCACTACTTGTTGCATAAGTCATTCCAATTTGTTTTCTCCATTTATTGTTATAACCTGTTCACTTTTAGCCTTTAGTCATGGTTCTAACGAATAAAGGAAATGCTTCTCATTGTGTAAAGCACATACACCATACATTGTCAATAAAGATAAGGTGGCTTTGAAGCCACTGTCAGTTGCCATGAACTCAGCTCACTCACACAAGCTGTGACTGGTAAATTTGGGCCTACATATGAGAGAATAGGTCTGTGTGGTAAGTGTGCACGCAGTGCATAATGAGAAAAAACTGCAAATGTATTTTTGGTGTAAAGCAGCGAATTTGCAGTGTATTTTCATATGGTATTTATGGTTGTACTCTCATATTTTTGGTCTCATTTAATAGAATGGAAGATATATTATAGAAATAAATATGATTCTGATTGGTTTCACAATATAAAGTATCTTGAAATTGAGCTCAAACAGCAGAAATGTTTGATTTTTGCCTATGTTCAAGAGTAAACAAATGACGTCAATACATGTCCAACTGGCCAGTCTAATATGTGGTCATGAATGAGTTGACATTATTTATATAATTATTACAATAATGCAGGAGTCTGCATAACAGTAAATCTTCTGTTTATATGTGTGAATAAAAATTCAAAATGGAAAGCAAGTGTAATATAACAGGAGCCTGGAAATGTAACTAATGAACAGAGAAAATATATGTATTATTTTAGTGCCAGGAATGTCTACATTGTTTATTCTGGACCCTGTTTTGAAATTGGCATCTCTTGAAATTTGTGTGAAATTGGCCAAATTGCCATTTTCTGACCACTTTATTAGATGTTTTACTTAAATGGGCAGTTTCTTGTACTCAGTTGACAGAATAGAAGGAATACTAGTGAAATAGCTATGAGTTTGGTAGACTAGAACAATGGAATGGGCCAAAAATAGGGCATAGAATAGGTGAAATTGCCGATGCGTAAATATCGCCGTTGGGTTAAGTGTACTCTAACCTAACCACTCTGTAATCCGGCAAAATCACTAATCCGGCACCCTACAGATCTCTATCATGCCAGATTAGTAATGACCAGTCTGTACTGTAAAGTCTGAACTATGAGCAATATGTATTAAAATATACTTAAGGAAAGAGATGCAAAAATGCGCATCTTGTCAAATGGTATCATCAGTGGTCACTAGATTTAATGAGTTACATTGGGTGATGAATGAATATTAGAAATTAGTTTTTAAGCATTTCCTCTCCACTTTGCAGGTTGTGTATTTTTCTTCTTTATAGCACAGTACACTAATTGCACTACTGCACATTTTTACAGTTCACCTGTAAATAACACACACACACACACACACACTGGCTGGAAAGCAGGTATTGTGATACCAACAGTATCTACATAGAAATACATATGCACAGCACAGGTCATGACATTTATTGAGGAAACATTTTAGCCAGACTTAGAATTGTGGAGGTGGGAAGGGCAGTGCCTACACTCTGGAAGGAGGGGGTGGGGATTTTGCTGTCAGAAGCTAATGTGAATTGGGATGTCAGTACACTTGTGGCAAGACAATGATTGAATAAATATTTATAATGTTTCTTTATTTGGGTCACTCTGAATTGGCAGGAAATGGTTGTTAAGTTAAAAAAGTATTTTTTTCTCTCAAATTCATTAGTAAAAACAAGTACAGGAGGGCCCTGCATATTTGGCACCCTCTTTTCGGTGTTCAACATTTTTGTTATATTTGATGCTTTTACTGCTCTTCCACCATTTTTGCACAACATTTGCATAAGGGAAGGGTTACCATTTTAAGGTAAGTATTGTATTACAAAAAATGCACAATACCGTGACTGGAGCAATACACAAATAACCCGCACATGGAAGAGAGGAGCTTACAACAAGATTTCGGTCCAACTTGGACCATCTACAAGGTCACACTGTAAGTGGTCCAAGTCAGACCAAAGCATCATCGTAAGCTCCTCTCTTCTATGTGTGGGTTATTTGTGCAAGTAAGTGGACCCGCATATTATCCAATTGACCAATTTGTAAGTGTTTTATGTAGTGCATTTACTGTATTTCGGGTCTGAATGACTAATCTACTTCACAATATTTTTATGGAACAATTCGTCGTCTGGACTGAACATATTCTGAATGAAAAATTCGTTAACGGGGTACACGTATTGTGTATTTATTTACTTTACTTTTTTTTTTTGTGCCTTACTATATTGGAGCACTATATGTGATAGTGTAAACATGTTATTCAGTCTTTGGAAGTTCATATTAAAAAGCACTTTTTACGCAGCATAAATGAGCATGTAACTGATTATAGCAAATATCAAATGACAAGTTACAAGAAATTTATTAGAAAAAGCCAGTAACATAATATATTATCAGTTTTAACACACCAGCCAACTCCTTCCAAGGTAGGATGACCAGAAAAAGAAGAAATGAAAGTTTTTCTTCTTTTTACATTTAGTTTTTATGCAGGAACAGGGGTTACTAGCCCCTTGCTCCTGGCATTTTAGCCACCTCTTATGTGGAGAACTGATTAGATAAGTATACTTTCTTGCATGAAACAAACATATAGCAATCTGTACTTATCTGTTAACAGCACGATGTCCAGCAGCCTCTCCCTGGACATCTTTTTGGGGTGCCGTTCGAGATTCCACAGTGGCTGTTGATTAACAATTTTGTTAGAAAGCAATTTGTTTTAAAGGAACATATATCCAGCATTTCCCTATCATCTGAAATGCATAGTGGTACTCATTTGGTTTGGGCATAAAGCCCTCAAATTAGAACCTCGAATAGGACAGCCCTATTCACCTTGTGTCTGCCCATGGACTGCAGTTCATTTTTGGCAGTGCAAATGAGATTAAACCTTACCTTGATTGTGTAATGTGAGATTATGGCATTGACAGTGCCATTAAGGCTGATATCGGTGACTTGACTGAAGGCTTGAGTGTCTTGTGGAGTGTTGCAGTAATGTTTGCCACTATGTCCGGAATGTTTGTTGCAATCACTCGCAGTAGCGGTTGCACTTCGTCATTAAACCTTTCAGGGTTTCGGCTGTACTAGTACCGCTTACACACCAGAGTTTTTCACATACTAGTACACCTAAATTCTAGTGCCCTCAAATCTAGTGAGAGAAAGCTGGTAGGCCTACATATGAAAGAATGGGTCTATGTGGTCAGTGTGGGTGGTATAAAAGCAATCCTGCATTACACAGTGCGTAATGAGAAAAAAAAACTTTGACCGTGTTTTTGGATTAAAACAGCGACTGCACTGTATTTTCGTATGGTATTTATTGTTGCATTCTAGTTTTTTTGGTCTCATTTTATAGAATGGAAGACATATTTCAGAAATTGAGATGATTTTGACTGGTTTTACAAAGAAAACTACTTTGAAATTGCACTCAAAGTAGCAGAAATGTTCGATTTTTACCAAAGTTCAAAAGTAAACAAATCATGCTATGCGTTCAATACACATCAATTGGTGAGTCTAATATTCTTTCACAAGTGCGCTGATAATATTTATACCATTTCTACACCAATGCAGTAGTCTGCATAACAGTAAATCTTCTATTTTTTTGTGAGAATAAAAATTCAAAGTGGAAAGCAAAAGAATGTAAGAGGGGCATGAGGACATGACTAATGAACAGAGGAAATGTTATTTTAGTGCCAGGAATGTCTTTCTTGTTTATTCTAGACCCTATTCGGAAATTGGCATCTTTTAAAATTTATGTGAAATTGGCAAAGTTGCTAAATTCTGACCACTGTATTGGATAGTTGAAATCGGTAAATTAGTGGTTTCTTGTACTCATTCAATAGAAAAAATGGAGTTCTAGTGAAATAGTTATGATTTTTGTCGACAAGTACACTGGAATTCGCCGAAAATGGGGCTCAAAGTGGGCAAAATTACCGATGCGTAAACATCGTCGAGACCGCTAACTTCGCGAGAACATAATTCCATAAGTTTTCCATCAAATTTCATACTTTTAGTGTCATTATGATCAGGAAAAGATTCTCTGTCTTTTCATAAGATTTTTTTTTTTTTTTTTTTTTTTTTTTTTTTTTTTTTTTTTTTTTTTGAAATTTGGCCAACCCTGAGAACAAGTCTCTGAGAGGGCCTGTCGACCCTGAAAGGGTTAAGTACCATCATTTGTTCATAGTTTCATGGAATTATCCACAGCAGGAAGAACACAGAGACGCAATGAACACTAAGTGATTAGTTCTACCGCAAATTTCCTGACTTGTATAAGGGAACTAGTTTAACTTTCCTAGTTTTCTGAGATTGTCAGAATGAACAAGAGTTAAGAACACACTGGTCACTACTGTCCCTTTGTCTTTTAATGATAAGACAGCAACACCCTCATGACACAAACACACGTCTCGTCCATTCCTTGAAGCAAGCTAAGGCCCGCCGCCCTCGTCGCCCTCCGGCTCATCGTCCGCACAGAGGAATATGCTGAACTCAGCTTTATGTCTCTTCCTTGCTACACATTGCAACAGTATTCAATACAAGAGGGTAGGGTTCTTGTTATTTTGCTACAGACTAGAATTCATAATAGTCCCAGCTTGTAGATAAAGTGGGGTGCAGGTTTTTACATAATTTTCCTGCTAAGGGGAAAAGAGTAATTACTCTCATTTAACCCCCATTGTGTGGGTGATCAAGAACTCTAGCAAGGAGAGGAAAGCGTGCCTCGTGACGCTATGATACATGTGGTTTTAATGAAGCTGTTTGCAAGGAAGGAAGAGTCCACTAGCCCTTTAAGGGAGGGCTAAGTCCCTCAGAAGGTTGAGGGGGGGGGCACTGAGAGGGCTGAGAGATACCCCCTTTATTGGAGAATTTTCTCCACATCTTACAACATTCATGGCTTATGGAGAAGGATTCTTTTCCACTTTCCCATGGAGTACCAGTATATTTTGCATTTAAATTAGTTTATAAAGCAATTTGTGACCCAGTGAATTTTCTGTATTTGGCATGCTGTCTCATCTATATTGGTCCTAACATTTTAATCCACATTTTTGCATTGTCCACTGGCTTGAAGATTACATGAAGTGGCACAGTCAGTTTGATGAAGAGCAGGTATGATGTATCTGTGCTGACATACTTTCTCCTAGCATTAATAGGGTTCATGCAGCAGATTGAACACTTACATTCATTTGTTGATATAATTATGTTGAATGCCATTCTTAGCCTATTCCAAGTGATTACTAGATGTACTATTGCACTCCCAAAATGTACAGCAACATATTTCAGATAGTGCCTGCACTCTGACATCATCACACCTCTGAAAAGATGGTATTCCTTGTAAGGTATGAACAGATGTCTTCTTCTAGGGGCCAGGCCGAGGTTTGGCAGACAGTAACTCGACACTGCCACCAGTCTTGAAACGCTGCACTCAGTTCCTCGCTGAACGCTCACACACACTAACATTCTCCACTATTTCTTTCGTCTGGTGCCCAGCTTTGTGAAGCTCTATGATTTGAGCTATAGTTTCAGGTGTTAAAGACTTCCTTTTACCCATAATCAAACATGTATAGCCTCAAAACCAAAGGGAACACCGGACAAAAGATGGGGCAGACGAGAGACAACAGTGCAATACTTCCTCTCACCACAGCAGCCACGTGAGCAGTGAGAAGTCACTGTGAACTGTGGTGGCAGGCTGTGACATCATGCTAATGGCTGCTACCCAGCAGAATGCACTGACAAAAAAAGACCCCCTTGTATGGTAGGCCTTAGATTTTCATCACAGCATTATGCTGAGGCGCTTACCCGGCTTAATGTCGTGATGAGCACTGTAGTTTAAAATAATCACTGTACAGCAGTCCAGCTAGTAAAGCAACATTTCCTTTGTTCATTAATCATGTCCCCAGGCCTCTCCTACATAACACTTACCTACCATTCTGAATCCATTTTCAGAGAGGGATCTTGTAATTATTTTATTGACAGTAATTACTACAAGACTATTGTATAGATGGTAATTACTACAAATGTTTAGCTTGTAAATTATTTTCATAGTTTCTAGTGCTTGTAGCACATAGTATCTCCTATTGCAGTATTCTTGTACACTTGTAGCCTCATGTGTTTCCTGATGATGGTGCTATGAAAGTTTCTTAAGCTGGTTTCTCATAATTTGTAGCATTCAGTTTTATATGATCAAAACACAAATAACCTGCACAATGGAGAATGAATATGGCTATTGTAGTTAATGGTCCAAGTCGGACAGAAATGTCATCACAAGTTTCAGTCTCCTATGTGCAGGTTATTTGTATGTATATTGTTCCAGTCACTGTATTTTGCCTTTTTATTCTTTATGTGACATAACTCATAATTTTCATGTTTATGATGTAGTACATTTTGTAAAATGTACAGTACTCTATTTCTTTTCCTGTTTTATACATGGTGCATGGGAAGCTCAAATTCATTTTGGAGCAGTGTTTATATAACTAGATTTTTTTTTGGTTCATCAGCTGCTTGCTAACAAGGTAGAAAGACTCAAATTAAAAAACAAATTCACCATCACTCCTTCAGTAACATGAACATCATGATTTAAGTGACGAACTAAGCTATAAAAATCCCAACCGATCCTTCCTTTATACAATTATAAGATATACTGAGTACCAAAGATGGGACACCATGAGCTTAGTTCTGCTTCTGTGGTTAAAAATGGATAATTTCTTATGTAGGTACTGTGTTTACTGTCATACATATCTCTCTGTATTAGACTAAGCATGAGAATTTATTGGCAATACTAATACTGCTCGTTTTTTACAGATTTCTTCTGGGACGGCATAAACTGGCTGTGGAGGCCTATCTACAAGCTGAGGATAAATTGGATAAGCCTGACTGGGAACTTCACCATAATTTAGGTGAATATTATTTATATTTGTATAATTTTTCATGTAAATTTAATGTACTCTAACCTATAGTTTTTGCTTTATTGTTTTCAAAATTTTCTTACCATACACCTAAAGTTTTTAATTTTTTTACCAGTTTTGTATGTACTATCTTGAGAGCGACTTAATGTGCTCTTATTTAATCAAACAATGAAAGTTATTATATGATTAATAAGAATAGCCCCTTATTTGCCATTTGTATGAGATATAGTTCTTAGCCTCATGGAATATTGAGAAATAGGTGTTGTTAAATCAAATGACATATTCTCTAACCCCACTTGATGTTCAGGGTTGTCTCAGTTGATAACACTACCACAAAACTTGGTCACCTGAAACCTTTTTTTTTCATCTCATAATCTCTCTACAAATTTCACTTGAAAGACAGATAGATGTACTGCGACAGTAATGAAGAAAACACAGGCACAGACAAGCTTTATTGACTTGATAAAAACTCTACACAATGTGAAACATTGTCGTAGTGAAAGTTTGCTCTGTAACTGTGTCTTTTTCTCACGTAAGCATCATTTATTTTTAACACACAGGTAGTCTCCTGCTGAGGTAGGGTGACCTAAAAAAAAAAAAAGAGAGGAAACACTTTTGCCATCATGCATTCAATCACTGTCTTGCCAGTGATTGAACTTCACAGTTCAAATTACCCTCTGAACTGCAACATCTAAGCATAATATCTAAATAATAAAAGATAAAACATAGTTAGAACATGAATCTGTTTAAATGTTGTGATTTTTTTCATATGCAAGCTTGTCTTGGGATGAGTTACACATCATCATTGATTAAATGAAAGGTGATGTGGATATGATTGTTGTATTCAAAGAATAAGGTGGTACAGATTATGAGTAGGTTGTACACCAGAGCTAGAAAGTGCAGGCAATAAAGACAAAAGTTCAGCTTGGTTGTAGGCCGAGTATGATAAGGTGAGCAAGGTTGTGAGATGGGAATAGTTTCATCCCTTGATTTTGGTAGATCCTTGTGACACATGGTAACATTAGATCTGATAGGCAAAGAAACAAAACAGGGGGGAATGAGTAATGGAATGAGAGCCATACTGCCCATCACTAATATCTTATATACAGTACTATCTCACCACATTTTGTAATAATTCAGGTTACTAGTTTAACTCTTATTGTAATTTTATTAGAATTTTTATTTTGAAATAACTGAAAATTTTTAATACAGTATTATGTAAGTGTTCATTTTTCCATATACCTTGCTATGACTTTATTTGCCACATATACATTTGATTCACATTCACTGAATCTCTCTTACTGTTAATATCAATAATGTCTTGTATACATACCAAAGCCCTTCTAGACAAAATGCTATGCATAAATAAGGGGTTTTCCATGTTATTGTAATGGCATCTAATTTTGTGCAAATGCTGTATCATGTGGAAATAGTTTAATTTGATTTTGATCTGATTTGATCTGCTGACTGAATGCTGAAGTGTTAGCCAAAGTGACTGCCAACAAAGCTTACATTCATTTGGCCAGTACCCAAGGTGACCACTTAACAGTTTTTAAACATTATCATTAATAATGGGAAAATGGCAACTCTGGGTCTGACACTGGCATTACAAATTTATAAAACAAAAAGGAACAAAGGAAAAGACTTTCCATGGATCTATGATCTTGGAGTGTTGGATATATGGTCTTAATTCTTCTGTGTACCAGGACAACCTTCACTTTCACATAATCCAAGACTGGAAGTGAATTCTCCATGATGCAGCCTACTGGTAGGCATACATTAGTGTACTGCAATAACAATCCCTGAAAAACTAATTGGAAATGACAAATTTCTTTTTAGGTACACCAAAAGTAATAAATACTCCACTGTTTTAACAGACAGTTTCCCTGCATTATGAAAGTAAACATACTCATAGTAATTAACCCTTTGACTGTTTTGGTCGTATATATACGTCTTACGAGCCACCGTTTTTTATGTATACATACTCATAAATTCTAGCGGCTTCAAATTAAACAGGAGAAAGCTGGTAGGCCCACATGTGAGAGAATGGGTCTGTGTGGTCAGTGTGCACCATATAAAAAAAAATCCTGCAGCACGCAGTGCATAATGAGAAAAAAACTCCGACCATTTTTTAATTAAAATGCCGGATTTGTGGTCTATTTTCGTATAGTATTTATGGTTGTATTCTCGTTTTCTTGGTCTCATTTGATAGAATGGAAAACATATTATAGAAATAGAGGTGATTTTGATTGGTTTTACTATGAAAAGAACCTTGAAATGGAGCTCAAAGTAGGGGAAATGTTTGATTTTTGCCGATGTTCAAAAGTAAACAAATGATGTCATTTTCCAATAAATGTCCAAGTAGCCATTCTAATATGCAGTCATGAATGGGTTGACATTATTTATACAATTATTACACTATTGCAGTAGTCTGCATAACAGTAAATCTATTTTTTGTTTGAATAAAAATTCAAAATAGAAAGCAAGAGTAATATCAGAGGAGCCTGTAGGTTAGGAGGCTGAGTACCTCATCTTCTACTTCTTCATTATTCTGTTTTTGTCCCAGTTTTGTATTGATAAAGCCACTGGTTGGCAAAATGTTTACATAATAAAGACCCAGTTGTTGTGCATATGTCTAATTCTTTAATTTGTCAGTATTATGTACCATTGATGCTATGATTTATATGATATAATAATGTAGTGTGTCATCATTATTTCAAGATTTATTTATTAACATATTATAATAATTCAAGAATTATGTGGATTAAAGTAAAGGTTGGATGCGAGAAGTGGGTCATAATAAGCGTGTATGCACCTGGAGAAGAGAGGAATGCAGAGGAGAGAGAGAGATTTTGGGAGATGTTAAGTGAATGTATAGGAGCCTTTGAACCAAGTGAGAGAGTAATTGTGGTAGGGGACCTGAATGCTAAAGTAGGAGAAACTTTTAGAGAGGGTGTGGTAGGTAAGTTTGGGGTGCCAGGTGTAAATGATAATGGGAGCCCTTTGATTGAACTTTGTATAGAAAGGGGTTTAGTTATAGGTAATACATATTTTAAGAAAAAGAGGATAAATAAGTATACAAGGTATGATGTAGGGCGAAATGACAGTAGTTTGTTGGATTATGTATTAGTAGATAAAAGACTGTTGAGTAGACTTCAGGATGTACATGTTTATAGAGGGGCCACAGATATATCAGATCACTTTCTAGTTGTAGCTACACTGAGAGTAAAAGGTAGATGGGATACAAGGAGAATAGAAGCATCAGGGAAGAGAGAGGTGAAGGTTTATAAACTAAAAGAGGAGGCAGTTAGGGTAAGATATAAACAGCTATTGGAGGATAGATGGGCTAATGAGAGCATAGGCAATGGGGTCGAAGAGGTATGGGGTAGGTTTAAAAATGTAGTGTTAGAGTGTTCAGCAGAAGTTTGTGGTTACAGGAAAGTGGGTGCGGGAGGGAAGAGGAGCGATTGGTGGAATGATGATGTAAAGAGAGTAGTAAGGGAGAAAAAGTTAGCATATGAGAAGTTTTTACAAAGTAGAAGTGATGCAAGGAGGGAAGAGTATATGGAGAAAAAGAGAGAGGTTAAGAGAGTGGTGAAACAATGTAAAAAGAGAGCAAATGAGAGAGTGGGTGAGATGTTATCAACAAATTTTGTTGAAAATAAGAAAAAGTTTTGGAGTGAGATTAACAAGTTAAGAAAGCCTAGAGAACAAATGGATTTGTCAGTTAAAAATAGGAGAGGAGAGTTATTAAATGGAGAGTTAGAGGTATTGGGAAGATGGAGGGAATATTTTGAGGAATTGTTAAATGTTGATGAAGATAGGGAAGCTGTGATTTCGTGTATACGACAAGGAGGAATAACATCTTGTAGGAGTGAGGAAGAGCCAGTTGTGAGTGTGGGGGAAGTTTGTGAGGCAGTAGGTAAAATGAAAGGGGGTAAGGCAGCCGGGATTGATGGGATAAAGATAGAAATGTTAAAAGCAGGTGGGGATATAGTTTTGGAGTGGTTGGTGCAATTATTTAATAAATGTATGGAAGAGGGTAAGGTACCTAGGGATTGGCAGAGAGCATGCATAGTTCCTTTGTATAAAGGCAAAGGGGATAAAAGAGAGTGCAAAAATTATAGGGGGATAAGTCTGCTGAGTATACCTGGTAAAGTGTATGGTAGAATTATTATTGAAAGAATTAAGAGTAAGACGGAGAATAGGATAGCAGATGAACAAGGAGGCTTTAGGAAAGGTAGGGGGTGTGGTGGACCAGGTGTTTACAGTGAAACATATAAGTGAACAGTATTTAGATAAGGTTAAAGAGGTCTTTGTGGCATTTATGGATTTGGAAAAGGCGTATGACAGGGTGGATAGGGGGGCAATGTGGCAGATGTTGCAGGTGTATGGTGTAGGAGGTAGGTTACTGAAAGCAGTGAAGAGTTTTTACGAGGATAGTGAGGCTCAAGTTAGAGTATGTAGGAAAGAGGGAAATTATTTCCCAGTAAAAGTAGGCCTTAGACAAGGATGTGTGATGTCACCGTGGTTGTTTAATATATTTATAGATGGGGTTGTAAGAGAATTAAATGCGAGGGTCTTGACAAGAGGCGTGGAGTTAAAAGATAAAGAATCACACACAAAGTGGGAGTTGTCACAGCTGCTCTTTGCTGATGACACTGTGCTCTTGGGAGATTCTGAAGAGAAGTTGCAGAGATTGGTGGATGAATTTGGTAGGGTGTGCAAAAGAAGAAAATTAAAGGTGAATACAGGAAAGAGTAAGGTTATGAGGATAACAAAAAGATTAGGTGATGAAAGATTGAATATCAGATTGGAGGGAGAGAGTATGGAGGAGGTGAATGTATTCAGATATTTGGGAGTGGACGTGTCAGCGGATGGGTCTATGAAAGATGAGGTGAATCATAGAATTGATGAGGGAAAAAGAGTGAGTGGTGCACTTAGGAGTCTGTGGAGACAAAGAACTTTGTCCTTGGAGGCAAAGAGGGGAATGTATGAGAGTATAGTTTTACCAACGCTCTTATATGGGTGTGAAGCATGGGTGATGAATGTTTGCAGCGAGGAGAAGGCTGGAGGCAGTGGAGATGTCATGTCTGAGGGCAATGTGTGGTGTGAATATAATGCAGAGAATTCGTAGTTTGGAAGTTAGGAGGAGGTGCGGGATTACCAAAACTGTTGTCCAGAGGGCTGAGGAGGGGTTGTTGAGGTGGTTCGGACATGTGGAGAGAATGGAGCGAAACAGAATAACTTCAAGAGTGTATCAGTCTGTAGTGGAAGGAAGGCGGGGGTAGGGGTCGGCCTAGGAAAGGTTGGAGGGAGGGGGTAAAGGAGGTTTTGTGTGCGAGGGGCTTGGACTTCCAGCAGGCATGCGTGAGCGTGTTTGATAGGAGTGAATGGAGACAAATGGTTTTTAATACTTGACGTGCTGTTGGAGTGTGAGCAAAGTAACATTTATGAAGGGGTTCAGGGAAACCGGCAGGCTGGACTTGAGTCCTGGAGATGGGAAGTACAGTGCCTGCACTCTGAAGGAGGGGTGTTAATGTTGCAGTTTAAAAACTGTAGTGTAAAGCACCCTTCTGGCAAGACAGTGATGGAGTGAATGATGGTGAAAGTTTTTCTTTTTCGGGCCACCCTGCCTTGGTGGGAATCGGCCAGTGTGATAATAAAAAAAAAATAAGTGCTACTGATACTTCTACATTTGTTCCCCTCAAGGAAGGTTCCTTGATGTTGGTGAGGGGCTCTTGATTTAGGGAATTGGATCTGTGCTCCAGTTCCCTGAATTAAGCCTGAATGCCTTCCACATCCCCCCCCCCAGGCGCTGTATAATCCTCCGGGTTTAGCGCTTCCCCCTTGATTATAATAATAATACATTTCTGTTGGACAGGAGTATGCTACTTGCACTTAAAAGATTATGATGGATCAAGAGAACAGCTCATGTTTGCTCTGGAACAAAATAAACACCACCAGACCTTTGCAGTGCTTGCCAAGCTCTACCTCCTGGTGAATGACGTTTCTTCTGCTATCAGTACTTATCGAGCTGCCATCGAGTGAGTCTTTTTGTTGTCCCAGCATTATATGTTGTAAAATCTTATGTCAGAGTTTCATATTGTAATAATTGCTGTCACTACTAAGTAAGAGGTAGCAAGAACTGCTAGAAATGTTTGCTAGTGTAAAAAACAATGATTGGAATACTCTTGAAATGGTGATATGTTGCATCAATGTGCAGGAGAGGGTTGTTTGTAGGAGGGTGGGTGCAACATGGAGAGAAAAATTATTGGTGGAATGATGATGAAAATGATCATTAAAAAGGAACAATTGAATAGAATAGGTTTTTTTCAGAGGTAAAATTGAATCATGAAAGGTAAATTAAATGGAAGAGATGGGAGGCTGAAGAAGGTGCAAAAACAAAACAAATGAAAGAATGGATGAGACACAGTTTTTGTTATTGGAGGTTTTAAGGGTCACCACAGCTTAAGCTACATTGAGCATTACTTCCTGGGAGTCCAAGGAAAATATTACTCAAATCTGGGTAGGAATTGGGAGGGAGGAAAGTTTTTCCTAACAAACAGTTGGATTAGTATATTCCCATTTAGGTCTGGAGTATCCCTTTAATCACCAGCAGGAGCTAGATGCTCACACTCTCCCACCTGAGTCAGCACAGCAGGCTTTCCCTCAACCTAGAAGTAGTTGATGTATGGTGCCCCTGACCAATTGCCCAGCATGTTGTGTTTGATGAAGACAAGCATCCATGGAGAAAACAGCAAAAATTTGTCAGCGATTCTCAAAGCAGGTAGAGTGAAACATCCATACTCTACGAAAACCAATGCAGAAGCCTGGGTGAGACAGTGTCAGTGCATTTAAATGGGCTTTTTTTTTTTTTTTTGAGAAATATAAATTAAGTTTAGGTAGTAGGTTGGTAGACAGCAACCGCCCAGGGAGGTACTACCATCCTGCCAAGTGAGTGTACAACGAAAACCTGTAATTGTTTTACATGATGGTAGGATTGCTGGTGTCTTTTGTCTGTCTCATAAACATGCAAGATTTCAGGTATGTCTTGCTACTTCTACTTGCACTTAGGTCACACTACACATACATGTACAAGCATATATATACACACCCCTCTGGGTATTTTTCTATTTTCTTTCTAGTTCTTGTTCTTATTTATTTCCTCTTATCTCCATGGGAAAGTGGAACAGAATTCTTCCTTCGTAAGCCATGCGTGTTGTAAGAGGCGACTAAAATGCCAGGAGCAAGAGGCTAGTAACCCCTTCTCCCGTGTAAAGAGAAACTTTTGTTTTTCTTTTTGGGCCACCCTGCCTTGGTGGGATACGGCCGGTGTGTTGAAAGAAAGAAAGAATAAATTAAGTTTAGGTAGTAGGTTGGTAGACAGCAACCGCCCAGGGAGGTACTACCGTCCTGCCAAGTGAGTGTAAAACGGAAACCTGTAATTGTTTTACATGATGGTAGGATTGCTGGTGTCTTTTTTTCTGTCTCATAAACATGCAAGATTTCAGGTACGTCTTGCTACTTCTACTTACACTTAGGTCACACTACACATACATGTACTACAAGCGTATATATAAACACCCCTCTGGGTTTTCTTCTATTTTCTTTCTAGTTCTTGTTCTTGTTTATTTCCTCTTATCTCCATGGGGAAGTGGAACAGAATTCTTCCTCCGTAAGTCATGCGTGTTGTAAGAGGCGACTAAAATGCCAGGAGCGAGGGCCTAGTAACCCCTTCTCCTGTATAAATTACTAAATTTAAAAAGAGAAACTTTCGTTTTTCTTTTTGGGCCACCCTGCCTTGGTGGGATACGGGCGGTTTGTTGAAAAAAAAAAATTAAGTTGAGAAATCAAGGGGATAAATGTGTTAAAGAGGAAAATAAAAGGGTAGTGACATTACAGAGATTAAGGGAATATTTAGTAAATTGTTGATAGAGGTGATGGAATAGAGGAAGGAATTAGTTAGTTATGTTTCCTGGAATACCTTGTGAATTAGATCACACTTTTCTGTACTACTCTTATAGCTATATACATCTCTTTAGTAATCAGGTTGGTATGGAACTGTGCTACCTATGCACTGGAATCTTGCAACTAGTTGATACTGTACACTGGGATGAGATAGACACCTTCTTAATTGCATCATATCCCTGCTGGAGCTTGCTCCTTTGAATCTAACTTATATCCAGCACCTCACAAAGAATGCAACTCAGGCACTACAATAGTTAAAAACAAAAAACTGTATAGTGGCACAGAAAATGGTACGTACTGTACATATAAAATTAAACCATGATTACCCTTTACAAAGCTTAACCTAAAGCAGATGGTGCTTCCATAACAACAACAGAGGAGGAGAGTATGAATACAGTAATATTGCCCAGTTTCTCAAACTTCTGGTCATAAACAAGTACTCTGTTTTGCAATTTCTCACTTGTGTCTGACATTGTAGTTATACTGAGTGTAGTTTGGCAGTTATCATAATGAATTTTGTGCATGTTACATTGGTCACTATAATTTTCCAGCACAAAATCATTTCAACTTATATTTTTAGTAGCAGAACTGTATATTGAGCACTCATTCATATCTGTCTACTGTGTATTCATGCAAACTGGAAAAAGTCTTTGCTTAGTTACTTTTGAAGATTGAGACACTCATGCAGCATATGAGAACCTTTATTGAAGAAACGTTTCACCACACAGTGGCTTCATCAGTCCAATACAAAGCAGAAAGATGTATTGGACTGATGAAGCCTCTGTGTGGTGAAACGTTTCTTCAGTAAAGATTCCCACATGTTACACGAGTGTCTCAGTCTTCAACTAGTCGATTTTAAACCATTTAGTTACTTTTCCTCTTACTAAATTATTAAAAGAGAGAAATTAAAGCTCTGACAGAGTCATTCTTTCCCAGCAGATGATTGTTTCAGAAATAAACTTTCTTTTACAAAAGTGTCTTACGGCCTGATGGTTCCACCTTTAATGGAGACGTACTATGTGATTGCTTTAATGACACCAATTTACTGCAACAACTGTGATCCCACTTCCTCACTCTTTATTTTAATGCTCTTCCTTCAGTACTTCTACATTCCCTCATATATCATGCTTTTCATCTGTGCTGTGCGTCACTGAATGATCACAGGTTTAACATTTTCTGCAAATATAGTAATTATAGGTAGTAGGTTGGTAGACAGCAACCACCCAGGGAAGTACTACCGTCCTGCCAGATGACTGTGAAACAAAAACCTGTAACTGTTTTGCATGATGGTAGGATTGCTGGTTTCTTTTTTCTGTCTCATAAACACGCTAAGATAACAGGGATATCTTGCTACTCCTACTTACACTTTGGTCACACTTCATAGACACGCACATGCATATATATATATACATACATCTAGGTTTTTCTCCTTTTTCTAAATAGCTCTTGTTCTTTTTATTTCTTCTATTGTCCATGGGGGAAATGGAAAAGAATCTTTCCTCCGTAAGCCATGCGTGTCGTATGAGGCGACTAAAATGCCGGGAGCAATGGGCTAGTAACCCTTCTCCTGTATACAATTACTAAAAAAGAGAAGAAGAAAAACTTTATAAAACTGGGTTGCTTAAATGTGCGTGGATGTAGTGCGGATGACAAGAACAGATGATTGCTGATGTTATGAATGAAAAGAAGTTGGATGTCCTGGCCCTAAGCGAAACAAAGCTGAAGGGGGTAGGAGAGTTTCAGTGGGGGGAAATAAATGGGATTAAATCTGGAGTATCTGAGAGAGTTAGAGCAAAGGAAGGGGTAGCAGTAATGTTAAATGATCAGTTATGGAAGGAGAAAAGAGAATATGAATGTGTAAATTCAAGAATTATGTGGATTAAAGTAAAGGTTGGATGCGAGAAGTGGGTCATAATAAGCGTGTATGCACCTGGAGAAGAGAGGAATGCAGAGGGGAGAGAGAGATTTTGGGAGATGTTAAGTGAATGTATAGGGGCCTTTGAACCAAGTAAGAGAGTAATTGTGGTAGGGGACTTGAATGCTAAAGTAGGAGAAACTTTTAGAGAGGGTGTGGTAGGTAAGTTTGGGGTGCCAGGTGTAAATGATAATGGGAGCTCTTTGATTGAACTTTGTATAGAAAGGGGTTTAGTTATAGGTATACATATTTTAAGAAAAAGAGGATAAATAAGTATACAAGATATGATGTAGGGCGAAATGACAGTAGTTTGTTGGATTATGTATTGGTAGATAAAAGACTGTTGAGTAGACTTCAGGATGTACATGTTTATAGAGGGGCCACAGATATATCAGATCACTTTCTAGTTGTAGCTACACTGAGAGTAAAAGGTAGATGGGATACAAGGAGAATAGAAGCATCAGGGAAGAGAGAGGTAAAAGGTTTATAAACTAAAAGAGGAGGCAGTTAGGGTAAGATATAAACAGCTATTGGAGGATAGATGGGCTAATGAGAGCATAGGCAATGGGGTCGAAGAGGTATGGGGTAGGTTTAAAAATGTAGTGTTAGAGTGTTCAGCAGAAGTTTGTGGTTACAGGAAAGTGGGTGCAGGAGGGAAGAGGAGCGATTGGTGGAATGATGATGTAAAGAGAGTAGTAAGGGAGAAAAAGTTAGCATATGAGAAGTTTTTACAAAGTAGAAGTGATGCAAGGAGGAAGAGTATATGGAGAAAAAGAGAGAAGTTAAGAGAGTGGTGAAGCAATGTAAAAAGAGAGCAAATGAGAGAGTGGGTGAGATGTTATCAACAAATTTTGTTGAAAATAAGAAAAAGTTTTGGAGTGAGATTAACAAGTTAAGAAAGCCTAGAGAACAAATGGATTTGTCAGTTAAAAATAGGAGAGGAGAGTTATTAAATGGAGAGTTAGAGGTATTGGGAAGATGGAAGGAATATTTTGAGGAATTGTTAAATGTTGATGAAGATAGGGAAGCTGTGATTTCGTGTATAGGGCAAGGAGGAATAACATCTTGTAGGAGTGAGGAAGAGCCAGTTGTGAGTGTGGGGGAAGTTCGTGAGGCAGTAGGTAAAATGAAAGGGGGTAAGGCAGCCGGGATTGATGGGATAAAGATAGAAATGTTAAAAGCAGGTGGGGATATAGTTTTGGAGTGGTTGGTGCAATTATTTAATAAATGTATGGAAGAGGGTAAGGTACACTAGGATTGGCAGAGAGCATGCATAGTTCCTTTGTATAAAGGCAAAGGGGATAAAAGAGAGTGCAAAAATTATAGGGGGATAAGTCTGTTGAGTGTACCTGGTAAAGTGTATGGTAGAGTTATAATTGAAAGAATTAAGAGTAAGACGGAGAATAGGATAGCAGATGAACAAGGAGGCTTTAGGAAAGGTAGGGGTGTGTGGACCAGGTGTTTACAGTGAAACATATAAGTGAACAGTATTTAGATAAGGCTAAAGAGGTCTTTGTGGCATTTATGGATTTGGAAAAGGCGTATGACAGGGTGGATAGGGGGGCAATGTGGCAGATGTTGCAAGTGTATGGTGTAGGAGGTAGGTTACTGAAAGCAGTGAAGAGTTTTTACGAGGATAGTGAGGCTCAAGTTAGAGTATGTAGGAAAGAGGGAAATTTTTTCCCAGTAAAAGTAGGCCTTAGACAAGGATGTGTGATGTCACCGTGGTTGTTTAATATAATTTATAGATGGGTTGTAAGAGAAGTAAATGCGAGGGTCTTGGCAAGAGGCGTGGAGTTAAAAGATAAAGAATCACACACAAAGTGGGAGTTGTCACAGCTGCTCTTTGCTGATGACACTGTGCTCTTGGGAGATTCTGAAGAG